GGGCTCTCAGGCAAGGCGGGGACAGGGGCGGCCTCAGCCTCACCAGCTGGCCCTTGTTGCCAGGGAGGGACAGGGATGGGGGGGAGGGACCCACAAGGTAGCGGTGGGGGGGAGGGGGGAGCCCCTGGCAGGGAGGAGCTCTGCAGGGCTCCGGCCCAGGCCCAGCTGTCAGGGATGCCTTCCCTTCCCCCCACAACAGCCTGTCTGTCTGTCTGCCTGCGCCCGCACCCCGCCCCGCCCCCAGCCTCAGGGGCCGCAGACGTGGCGGGTGGCCCCCCGCCTGCCTCGCTGGCTGGCCGATAAGTGCCCGGCGGGCCGCCCCTGTGTCTGGCCAGAGGAGCCAGAGCCTCGTAGGCCTCCGAGTTTGCCTTGAACTCCCGTGTCCACCGTCGGTCAGTCTGGTCGGCCCTGCATTATCTCAGCTCATCTCAGGCTCCGGCTGCTGCGGCCGGAGGAAACTAGCTCTGGAGAGAAAGCTGAGATGGTTTCTGCAGCTGGGCCCCAGGCAGCCCCTTTGACAGAGGCCTCCAGGAGTGGGGACCAGACCCTGGGGGACTCATCCGTACCAAGAGAAGTCTCAGAGGGCCTGGGGCCCCACTGGGCCACGGGCCCTGGGTCTCACCCGGCGTCACTGACCCTTCTGTGGTCTACGCTCTGACCAAGGGGAGGTGGGCGGGGCCGTGCCCAGCAGCCTTACCCCGAGCCACGCCCAGAGAGCCGCCCCCTCCTCTGAGGGCGTACACCCTTCCGCACTCCCGTGCCTGCCCAAAGGCACATTTGTGCCCACCAAAGTCCCAACACGCTCAGGTGCCCAGGTCTCCCTACGCGCCACCCTCCACGACCTCCAGCCTGTCTGGGAGCCCGGCACAGGGATGTGCCCCACCCCAGGCCAGGCCTGCACCGCCTTGAACTCTGAAGCCGGCCGGTGCCCCAGCCTGCCCCAGACCTCACGGCACGCCTGTAGGTGCCACATGCCTCACAAAGCGCTTTGGCCCACAGCAGGCTGTCATGACTCAGGGCCGCCTTCAGCGTGCACCGAGGAAGAGCTCAGACCCTTACAGAAGGGACGAGCAGACATTCCCATTCCCATTTTGCAGAAGGGACAGTCAGGGATCGGCATCCCCCATCGCACAGAAGGAAAAACCAAGATCTGGGGACATTAGCACTAGCCCGTACCCAAGTGTTGTTTTGATGACCGTCACTCAGCTCAGTGTGGACGGCCTGGAGTCCCAGCCCGTGCCCGACCCTGTGATGTCGGGACAGGCCTGGCACGCGGCCCACAAGGTGACACGGGTGGTTCTGGGGCCCCGCACGGTTGCAGGTCCTTCTGTTGGGGGCACGGCTATGGTTTGGGGAAGATCAGGGCAATCCCAGCCCCGCCAATCTCAGGGTCCTGACTCGGGGCCCGGAGAAGGACTGTGTGTTGCCTGTGAGGGCCCCCCCGGTAGATCGTGTGGGGCGCAGGAACCCCCTGGGCCCCTGGGAGGGGGAGGCCTCTGCCTTGGACCTCTTCTTGGACCTCCTTGGACCTGGCAAGCATAATGCCAGGGTGCCCGTGTTGAGCGCAGGGCCCCTGGGCATGTCAGAAGGGTACCCAGGGATCTGAAGGAGGTGCCCTCAGGGGGGCCCGTCTTTCTGGGGAAGCAGGGGTGGCCACGCCCTCAGACTAGGGTAGCCCCAGTCTCGGGGGGAGAGGGCACCCCAAGGAGGGGAGGCCTCAGGTGGGCAGGGGGACATGTCCCCAGGGGCCCCCAGGCTCGAGAGCGGCCCTGACATCG